GGCTACGATGTGGAGAAGAACAACTCCCGCGTCAAGATCGCCGTCAAGAGTCTGGTGACTAAAGGCACGCTGGTCCAGACCAAAGGAGTCGGCGCCTCCGGCTCGTTCAAGCTCAACAAGAAACAAGCCGAGACCAAGACAAAACCCGCCAAGAAAGCCGCTCCTAAAGCCAAGAAGCCCGCGGCAAAGAAGCCCGCCGCCAAGAAACCTGCCGCCGCGAAGAAGAAGCCCAAGACCGCAGCCGCGAAGAAGAAGCCCGCCGCCAAGAAATCCCCGAAGAAGGCCAAGAAACCCGCGGCTAAAAAGGCAACGAAGAGCCCCAAGAAAGCAAAGAAACCAGCGACTCCGAAGAAAGCAGCCAAGAGCCCTAAAAAGGCCAAAGCAGCCAAACCCAAAACGGCGAAACCCAGAGCTGCCAAGCCCAAGAAGACCGCGGCCAGAAAGAAATAAACTCCTCTTTTCTGATGTTTTATCAAAACGGCTCTTTTAAGAGCCACCCACTGATTCAAAGTAGAGCAGTATTTCCTCGGTTATCTGTCTAGTGTATAATTTGGACATCATTGATCAAATAATTTATACACTGCTGCAAGTCAAACTTTAAACTATTATTATTATTATTATTAAACCAGACAATTCAGTGAATAACAGGTAAGGCAGGGTTAATCGTGTAGCACATTTAATAAATAAAGAGTAAAGTGCTATATACATAAAATTATGTAAATGTCCTTAAAATTAAAAAAGAATCAGAAATAACCAAATTGAAAGAAAACGAAATAAAGTTGCACACAAAAAAGAAACTAATATGTTTAAAGAGTTGCAAATACTAAATAGCAGAAGGGGGTTGGGTTTGGAGGGAGGTTCACTGATTGGCTTGAAATGTGTTCAGACTCCAGCCAATAGGAGACCGGTACGCTTCTTTCAAAAGTCACATCGCAGCCTTCTGTACAATCAATGCTTTTAAAACAGGTTTTCTACTATAGTGAGTGGAAGAGGCTAAACCTGTGGAAAGGAGAAGGGTGTTCCTGCAGCTTCAGGGCCTTCCGCAGTTCTAGGACCCTGGTGGTTTAGTTTGTAGTCATGTTTGTACATGTTGTTAAAGAAAGATATTTTTTTATTTCAATTGTGATTTTTGATTTATAAATGCATCAGATGTTAATTACGAAGTGTGTAATACCTGCTTTGAGTTAACAATTTTAAATTGAAATGAATTTACACTTAAAATATAAATGAGAAATGTATTTCAGTCTTTAAACAACTGAAAAAGTGCAGTACCTTAAGTCTTAGTTTCTTGAAATATACTGTATATTGATTAGCCCCCTTAAGTTGAACTAGCTCATTATCAGGTATAATAAAGATGGAATCAAATGAAATCAGCATTTGCAGTCACTAAATTACAGCCAGATATTTAAAAGTTTGTAGAGAGGCAAGACACAAGACTCGAGAATGGTTCAAGAATGCATATTTATATACTGTATACTCATTTTTGCAATAACTCATAATACAACATCATAAAAAAAGACCCCCTTTTCCATCAGTTGCTGCACGGACAGAAATACCAAGATGGCGCAGAGAGATATGGCTGCCTCCGTGGCGTGCTCCACAGTTGTTTTTATTAGTTTGTCCTGTCTTTAGTTATATCCCTGCAATCAGTTTCACCAGAGATGAATTGCTGGACATTCGGCAGTACACACCACCCGATATTTCACCGGTTTTCGACTATTCTGATGTTTTACTGGAGATTGTAGTGGGGGAGCTGTGGCGCTGATTAAGCGATTCAGGACGCACAGACGGGGGAAGAGAACCGGCGCACTCGTGAAGCTCAGGAAGCGCGGATTCAGAACGGTGTTGCCTAGCATCCATCTGGCAAATCCCTGCTCTCTATCCATCAGTTGCTGCATGGACAGAAAGGCTTCAACTCCTGAGAGAGATAAAAAAAGAGAGAGCGGCAGGGATAATTAAATAAGAAACACTTGCTTTAACATGTTTAACTCTGTAATATATATTTCTGATTTAACACTTATGCGCTGTTGGGGTTGTAGAGAGAGAGAACCAAACAGAATAATCATGTTACTGACATCTAACTCCAAACTCCAAATGTAAGTATATAAGAGCAAAACCCACAAACTGAATGTTCTCTCTTCTTTCCTCAATTGTTTGTCAATCCGGCAACACTTTCTATGAAGCCTGTATTTATAATACATTATAAGGGTTTTCTTAAGGCATTATAATTAATGCATAAAGCACTATAAAAAAAAGGTTAATATGTTGTATCATCTCATAAATAATCATAACATTTATAATACATTATAATACTTACGCATTTGTGGTTATAACTTTTAAGAGTATGATTACGTATAACACACAATGAATGCCATAATAAATCCACTTAATTTATAATGGATTATCTTGACATTGTTTATTTAAGATCTGGACAGTATCTTACTACTTTGGAGGAGTGGTTGAGTATTGTTTTGAGTGTTTCCTGTGAGGTTAATACTAATTTTGCTGTGCGCTAGTTTAAAGGGGTCATATGATGCGATTTCAATTGTTCCTTTCTCTTTGGAGTGTTACAAGCTCTTGGTGCATAAAGAATATCTGTAAAGTTGCAAAGACTAAAGTCTCAAAACCAAAGAGATATTCTTTATCAAAGTTAAGAGTCAGCCACACCTACCTAAAACGGCTCGTTCTAACACGCCCCCACATGTCTACCTCACTATGTGGGAAGATTTGCATAACACCGCCCAAATGTTCACGCAAAGAAAGAAGGCGTAACACTTGTATTCTCGCTGTAGTATTGTTGGCGCTGCAGCCATGTCGTGAAGGCGCTGCGTGCTTCGTTGTGAAAGCGAAACTACTTTGTTTGGTCTTCCAAAAGAGGACGATATCCGCTTCGTCATGCCTGGAGCTGATCCGTGCTGGTCGCTGAGGAAATACATCAACTTTCACCGTGGACAAAGCGGAGTCCAGCCCGCCTCAGCTCACTCTATCCCAGCCTCAGCGCACGCTAAGCCGGGGCTTCCCCTCACGCTAGGCCGCTGTGTTTTTCGTTGCCACTGATAATTCAAACGCGAGTTTTGAGCAGTGTAGAGTAGCACTTGTTGTTTGTCATTTCTCCGATCACAAATGCAGACAGAGTTTTATGTTTACGCGGCGCGATGCAATGCAACGCAACACATAAAAAGACAGTATAAGTCATTATAATCAGTAATTATGTCAAATACAACAAATGCCTTGTTTGTAATGGGTTTTAATGTTTTTGTCTCATCGCTCCGGCCGGACACGGCATCACAGTATGGTGAGGGGCGTAACATTTCCGTCTCACGCTTGAGGTATTCGGCCAATCACAGTGCACTGGAGAGCTGGCCAATCACAGCACACCTCGCTTTTTAAGGTTAGGGTTGGTAGAATAAGTTGATGTACTTGCAAAGTTGTTTATAGTGAGTAGAATATCTGTTGAGGAACCATCAAAGAAAGTGTTAGCAGATATTTAGCAGACAGTCTACTAATATTCTAATGACTGCTAGTTGACATGTAGTCGCAGAGTTACTTATCAACAGTTGTCTAAAGGCTACCATCAAAATAATCAAATTGATATTACAATAAAAATAGTTCAAAGCAAATCTGTACACGTTCATCTAATCTGATATCAGATCTTATGGCTGTTTGAGAAAAAATATTATTATTATTATTATTTATAAGTGGTCTTTGCTTTAAGTACAGTGAAGTTACTTCATTTAAAGCAGACAAAGAGCAATTAATAATTATAAGACCACATTAAAGCATTTTGGAATGTTTTCATGAAGACTGTATTTGTTATTTTACAGTAAAACGTCTCAGGTTACTTATGTAACCATGGTTCCCTGAGTAGGGAACGAGACACTGCGTCCTCTAGGGGTCGCTATGGGGAACGCCTCGTCGTGACCCGTGTCTGAAGCATACATTGAAAAAACACCAACAACACGTTGGCCGGCGACAGCCATGACTTCACTACCGGTGTGACTATAGTATAAATAGGTACGGTAGACCAGTCAGGGTAGCATGAAAGCGTAACCCCAGCGCGGACGCCCAGGACATTTTTGCAGTGACGCGCCGGTGGCCTGATGATCCTGAAGGCTCCCGCAGAAGCCTGTGTTATGGCTGCATGATCCAGGAAGTATGAAGCCGAAAACCGGCTTACTTACTGTCTGGACATATATCAACGAGCGAAATAAGCACTACAAGTCGAGCACCCGGTTTCTGAACCCAGCAGAGGGGGTGCCCATCGAGGACCTACCCTAGAAAGGGACAGAAACACACAGGTCCCGGGAAACACTGCAAAGAAACTATCAGAAGGGTTATACACACAACCACCAGTCTCATTAGATACACATATATACATATATTAGACATGGATCGTACTCACCTACCATGGTTCCCGCGTCGGAGCTCTGTCCGGAGAAGCCTCTAGACCGGACCATCAGTAAGATGGTCACTATGAAGCCATAGAACCAACCAAACCTAATAGGTCCAGTATAGGAGACTATAATGCAGGAAATTTCCCACCTAACCTCGGTCAGGTGGAGAGCTGGTGGTTACAGCGGAATTTAGGAAGGTGAAGATAAGTTTTTTTTGGCAGATGTAAGAAATGAGTAGATACTGAGGTATCACTCTGATCCGGACAAAAGCAGAGACAAACGAGAGCGGAGCTTTTTTCCTTGAAAAAAATGCTTGCAGTGCACGCTGATTGCCCCCTCGGAGACATCGCGTGCGTGCTCTTTGCCCAAACAAAACAACGCATAGATCGTGTGTGTCATCAGATGTTAAACAACGTCAACATGGATGCACACATCCTTAAATGCTTTGCTAGTGCTCGCCATAATGAGATAAATAGAGATCGCTCTTACCACAGAAATGCACGCTTCAAACAAAACAGTCAATGAAGACGAAGAAGAGAATGATGTGTAGCTCCCGGCGCCTATTTATACTATAGTCGCACAGGTAGTGACGTCATGGCTGTCGCCGGCCAACGAGTTGGTGTTTTTTCAATGTATGCTTCAGACACGGGTCACGACGAGGCATTCCCCATAGCGACCCCTAGAGGACGCAGTTCGAAGTTCCCATGAAAGGGAAACACAAATAAGACGTACTAAGTTATTATGCAGATCTTAAACAATAGCAAGATATGAGACCTATAATACATTATAACTATGAGAAATATAATCCATTGTAACTTAAGTGGATGCAATCTGTTCATTGTGTGTTATAAAATATCATACACTTAAGCACAAATAAGTATTATAATACATTAAAACTGTTCTTACGATTATTTATAAGATGATGCAACATATTATAAGGTTTCTTATAATGCATTATTCATTACTTATAATGGTTTAAGAATAACCTTATAATGTATTATAAATACAGGCTTCATAGAAAGTGTTTCCGTCAATCCTTCTATTAAAATCTTCCACTTCAATTAAATAGTTATCAGAGAACAATCACTGTTGGGTTAACAGAAATATCAGTAACAAAAGGTGCACTGGGCATTGTGCAAAAATAATGAATATTCTACTCTGAGCTGTAATGATAATCCGGACCAGAAAGGAAGACCTGCTCAGCCTCCTGCAATGAGAAATTCTGAGGACAGCCAGGGCATATATGATGGCCTATGAAAAACAGTTAATTTAAGTATACTATTATAGCACTACTGAACAGCAAGCCATTATACATTGGTCCATACACAAGTAGAACCAGCATGCAGTTTATACAGTAGATTTTGTAAGTGCAGGAGCAGGACACTCACAAACACATTACATGCTCAGTTGTGTTGGTGTCCGATGCAGCACTCCTCTCAGATAGGCAAACAGGACAGTTGTTCCTCACTACCTCTGCAGTGTGGTCATGGACAGCCTGAATGTGGATCTTCTCAGAGATAGCACTCTGTACACTGGCTGAAGAGTACCTTGGAGCAGGTTTCTGGCTTCATCAGTCCAGAAGGCAAACCGCTGACCATGCCTTTCAAACATCAACAAGA